CACCTGTATTTTCTGCATGATGGCTTTCGTCGTTCTCCAGGTTTCTGCCCCATATAGTAGAACTGTCTTGACATTTGTATTGAAAATCCTGATCTTGGTGTTGGTTGACAGTTGCTTTGAGCTCCAGATGTTCCTCAGTTGTAAATATGCTGCTCTTGCTTTGCCGATTCGCGCCTTCACATCTGCATCAGATCCACCCTGTTCATCAGTGATGCTGCCGCCATTAAAAACTTTAAACCAAATGAGAGTTCTGGTGTCGGTGACATCCCTTCAATCCCTTATAAAATAATAATAATATGTATTTCTGCATGAGCAGGTACAAGCCATTTTTACAGGCATGATCTATAAATTACAACATTTGCTGGCACACAGCTTGCTTCCCAACTTATTAAGTTTATAGTTGTTATAAAGTAGACTCGTAGAGCGCTTGCTGTAAACCATGACCTTGAGGAAACGCCTACATCAAGTTTGTTCCAAACGTCAGAAGTTCCATGGCTGTGCCTTCAGATCAAGATTCTGAGGAAAAAAGAAAGAGAAGCAAAAGAGCAGAAAGGCACTTGGATATGAACACCAAACGTTGCTTAACATTTTGTAGTAGAACGGACAGAGGTATAATAGATTGGAATAAATTCATATTATCTCTTGTTAGAGTGAAATGAAGTCAGGGGCTCCATATAAGATAATGTAGTTATAAAGAACAATGAGTTGTGATGTTTAAGAAGTTGGAGTAAGTTCACATGAAGGAAGGTAAGTCAAGGTCGGTGCAAGGAAAGTGGTCTAGAGGGTGAAGTGTTAAGAATGCTGGTAACTATATCTTTTATTTTTTGGTTGAGATCATGAATTAATTGATGTTAGACGATCTAACATCAATTAATTCATGATCTCAACCAAAAACTTAACAATCTCCACACCCCCCATACTGATATATCTTTTATTGTCTAATTTTTTCCTTTCTTCCTTTCTTTTTTGTTGTCCATCCGGTGCCGGCCACACAATCCTAGTGTAAAAGTTCGAGTTAGCATGTTACAGGTTGTCTTAGTAGAATAGCTAATTCAGCATAAAATTGGAAACATGAAGCTGAGTGGTGAGCGTAGGAAGACAATCGATAACACAGATTGATCGACTTATTCTCAATCATAAAGAGCCTGATACATACAAAATGTCCTGCCCCACAAACACGGGTTGACTGGAGCCATCGCCCTCACCATCAATGCTTGCTGGTCAGTAACCCCTCCCTCCTTTTGTGATGTTAGGCTCATTAAAACTTATTTTTCGATATATATCATACCTCACACAATCTTCTGTGTATCACATCCTTTTGGAAAACATTGTTTCTATAAGTACCACTTTACAAGTTTATCAGGCAGTTACAATTTATGGACTGTGGGTAAGGCATCGATGCAGTGCTTTAATTGACTATAGTATAAAATATAGTTTGCCAATTACAGTATAAGAATTAAGAAGGGTATGATGTAGGATAGTTGTTTATTAAAGCAGGGGGAAAAGTATAGAAGTATATGAGTTGTAGATAAGGTAACGAGTTTAGAAATAATATTAAATGAGTATTTAACTCGATGAATCTGAGGACAATAACAATTACTTACTCCTGCTACTCCTCTTGAAGCATTCGCCGCCGATCAGGAATCCCTGATTCCTCTTGGGTTCGTAATAGAGTCGCTGCAGTTCTCAGCACTGTACAAAGAAGCCAGCGACGTCATCCTGTGGAAAAGAACTGTTCACCAGATGACAGTGATAACCAGAATTAACATGTATTATGACAAATTTGTTGGCTAGACAGAGGCTATATAGTAGTTAATCAATACCAGAATAATGCCCCTTCGTAACCACTTCGGATTGGGAAATGTAATTTAGTGAATGCCGTGAAAATTCTTTCAAAGTATTTTGCTTGATAGTATTGTTATCTATTTGATTTTTACCCATGTTTAGTAAGTAAACGCTCAACTGGAAGCCAAATAAATATGGTTTTGTAATTCTTAATGTTTTCTGACTATATATGTTATTTGGCATTGATTATGTTTTCTTTTCACCATTTCATTACGTTACTGCAAGATTCTGGACCACCAAAAACAAGGCATTACTTGATTGAACTCAAGATAACGACATTGGGTAGTTTATCATAATTGTAATTCAACTTTCTGTTGGAAATGATTTTCACTCTTTTGGGTTCATGCAGATGGAATTTTAACCTCATTAAGTTGCGAATATTCTTAATGATATTCCTTGGCTTGTAGACCAACAACGTACATGGTCTGTATCGATGGTCACGGCCTACTTGATTAAAAAAATGATGTAGCTTCATAACCTACGTTACAATTCGCGGTTAGTATCTAATGTGGGCTACCCTTTCATAGTATCGATGTACTGTGGTTAACTTGACGACTGCATACGATAAACATGAGATCATTTTAAAAGCTTATTTTCGAGACCGGGTAAATATATACTGCAATAAGTGCTCCTTGAGCACGACCGGGGCGTTCCATTCATTATTTCGCATAAGTTAATCTTTACCCTGACGATCTTCAAAAGACTGTTCAACGATCAGTAATTTGACGTTTAATGTAGAACTGGTTCAGCCTGATGGATGATTTCACTACGTTCAGTGACGTCTCATTAGCTCAGTATACGTAACAATCATAATCATCAACCGTTTTGTGATATATTGTACGATATTTCATAATAGAGAATCCGGTAGCTGGATAATTTGTGGTGTAATGTTGAGGTGTTTGCATTGTTTAAAGAAAATTTGACTTAACAATTAGACATCATGAATTACTTTTGATGATTGCGCTTTGATATAATTGTTGAATACGGGTGAATTAAAGAAGATTCACGAACTATACAGAAGAGGGTAGTCGTATAAAATCGGATAAATCTCGGTTTGTTCGATCGTCTCCTGAATTCATACCAAATATTTGAAGTTTAATTGTTAAAGTAATGACAATGACACTAGAATGGCCATCAGTTATATTGGAATGTAATACTCCAGAACTGTATTGCAATGAGAATCTCAGTACGTAGACTTAGTTGAAAACGCACCAGAATGAGTCCAGAAGCTTTTGGTACTTATAGTGTATCCAGTAATAGTAAGTAAAAGGGATTGAGACAAGATTCACAAACAAATTGGCAGTCAGAGAAACAAAGGATGAGGAGGAGGTATATCTCACAGAACTATACATCAGCTAACCACTCCAACTGAGCTGAGATATAGCTTTTATGAACTTGGTTTATGTATGCGAAGATGGAAAGTTTATATATATGAGTTCACCGTCACGTCTGGCTTTGATTATTCACCTCGAAATCTGCGAGTGTATTTGAGGGCATATCCGAATTTTATCGTTTAGACGCTTTGTTTTTACAACTAGACGAAAATGATAACAACATGCAGTCGTAATATGACTTGTGATTAGTAAATATCTTATTGTAGCACTCTACTGTTGCAGCATCTAATAGTCTATCTTGATTTTGCAGTTTTGCAACATGATATAAATATAAATTTTCTTTACTTACATCGATTTCATTGGAGCTTGGAATATAGATGAAAATCGAAGGCATATTGCGAATGGAACATGATTATACTCGAATGTGTTGGTCTTTTGAAACTTGGGCTAACCGATTAGCAACCACGAAATTAATTGCATAAAAGAGATATGCCTTATGGACTTAAAGATGTATATAAACATCATGAAAGTTTGACTTTTGTGTGTTATTTGCAATCAGGGAATTAGAATGAATAGTAATTATGCTATAAAACATGAACAGCTATTGAAAGAGAAGCGGGACAAAACTGTCTTACACGAATCAATCTTTCTAATGATCTGGAATTCTAATAGTACTGAGAGAACGTGCTGACTGTGACTGGCTATTAGAAGCCTGATAAAGAATTCGACTTGACGATAGCCAATGGTTGCTCCGCTTCCGCTATACAAATTATCGAAGTATATGTTTTATTATATTTACCAAATCGCCGGAAGTATCATAGCTCTTATAAAAGATAAATAAATCATGGTACATCTGTTTATGTGTATACGTGAGCCACGACTTGACACTGTAGAGAGAAGCTACAGAAATACGGTTACTATAGACTATTTTAATGAATATGCTTTTGCCATTATTTACGTTTTCTAATTCTCATTCGTTTCTGTAAAGCCACCGTCATTGACCAAAAGATTGTACGTATGTCGAACGTGAATTTCCATGTACACTTAGCAGGTTTAGTGTATCAGCTCCTTTCTCTCGATATGCCGTCACATCAGTTGACTTATAATAAATATATTACACGTATTTACAGGTTGTACATTAACATCAATTCAATCATAATTGGGTATCTTCCCAAGCAACACAAAAAGTGGAAATAAAGGCGAAGAAAGGGGAAATAAAACGGACGACAGCGTAAATAAAGGGGAAATGTCACTTTTTCGCCTTTACGTCGGTTATTTAGGGGAAATGTCGCTTTTTCCCCCTTACGTCGTGTATTTGGGGGAAATTTGTCGACAATTAGACGTTACGTACAGTGATTGAATAAACCGCATCCACAACTTAAGTTTTCATAAACTTAGACAAATTAAGGCACCGCTTATTAAAAAAAGAACTATTGTCCTTTAATTGGAGGATAAACTGATTTCTTACTTATTCCCTGCTATAATTACGGCTTTATTTTCAAACTATTGAGCACAAAAGCATTAACAAATTCCAAGTGACTCTTGTGTAATGAGTATTTATTCAGTTTTAAAATGTCTCCTGTTGAATAAAATTTTATTAAAAAATATTTATTTTAAGGTCTGATACATCTTTTTGAAGGAAAGTGGACATTTTTTATATACACTCTGAGGCCGAGTTACTTGGCTTGATTTTTCTCTATAGTCAAAAATGAAAGTACTTTGTACTTTGCGTTTGTTTAAACGTTTCTATTTGACCTTCAATTCCACATCTACATTCGGACCAACATTTAACTTATTTCATCTTGGGTCGCTCAATTTGCAATGAGTGTTCGCCGGATAAGTAAAAAGTTCAGTGTTCAGTCTGTGGAGGCCTCAGAACTGAAAGGTGCAAAGTTGTCACTCTTGGGAGAGTCTACTGAGGCATATGGTAAGTTTTGACTGCAATAGTTCACCGTCGGCCAAAATAACTAGTCTTACTTGAAAATGTAAAAATAATTTATTTATTGAAATTTTCGTCAGTCTTTGTGTAGCGAAATCATTATAATATAAGTTTGTTGTAATAGCTCGAGAATATAATTTGCACACGGAGTGACATAAGAGTAACATGATGTATCATATTTGTTGACTTGGGTCTTATAGAACAGACCAAAAACGAAAATTAGTTTTAATCTTATTTTATATCATTTGAGTTTTTTATCTTTCTGACCTTGTGTGAAGCCATTGCAAGATTTGTTTTCTTGACAATATGAAGCGTGAAAAAGCAATTTTACACCAGTAAATAGTAAATCACATTGAATTTCCTTTTAAAATAGATTTAGTTGCTGCTGTGTCTAAATAGACGCTTTTTGCGTCATGCATTCGAGTACCACAGATTACTTATCATTCGTTCATTCTCTAGAAAATTCGAGGCTTAAAGGCAGTGGAAAATAACTATTAGCTTCTTGATTTAGAGCGGGGTTTCTTATTATTCTAAACTTGTAAGTTTTAAGTTGCACCGACAGATGAAAAAGGTTTTCTTGATCGAACTCTATGTTCAATTGCTTACGAGCTTATCCTACAAACAACATTTTCTGGCTATTCATTTGTATCATCTGTTAAAAACCAAGTCTTTCCGATGTAAAACGCCACTCGTCACTTCTAAGTCTTAGACTTAGAACATTTTTATTACTAACATTGAAGGAATAATTAGAAATGAGTTGCTCTTGAGCGTGACTTTATTGCTAAAGAAGTGTTGAATAGTTTTTGTAGGCTGTTGCTCATGGACATATTTTTTAGATGGTTCAATTCTTTCCTTTAAATAATATTTTTTTCAACTTTGGGACTTTTATTTCCAAAAAATTTCCTGGAGCAGAATAATAACAGCAAAAGATGTTGTATATGTTAATTACTAAACTAAACTTTAACATGTGGAATTCTGTATGACTTGCGATCAATAAGAAAGGCTGATTAGATGGTTTAAAAGGTAACGAAAAATAGCCCGAAACTAGAATCACATAATATATTCCTGTGTGGTATTCTTGATTTTGTTGGTTAATTATAACACGATCGGCGAGACTATAATTTACGGACAACCTTTAAGAGGCGCCAGAGTGACCTCGAGAGTGTCCACCTAATAACTAGGACCAAATGAAGTTTATAAACCAGTGTGAGGAATTAGACTTTGATTTACAGTTGATGGTTAAGGTTAGGAATTAGATTTAGGATTTTGACCACGGACTGATATCAGCTATAATGTCAAAATCCTATTTAGTCAAATGGATAAATGAATTTTGCGCCGAGATCCGAGACCTGTTATCTTATACGAGATTGGTTCGTCCACATATTGTAGTCTCGTCACACGGTCTGGTTTACCAGTGAATGTTTCAAATTCCCTATCAATACTTTATTTTGCACTCGAAGAATACAAGATCAAGTGTTTGGGATTTCAAGACGTATAGTCATATTTCGACAGTAAATTTAATTCGTTTGTAAACGTAAAGACTAATGTTAAATAGTGACCAATATGTGTTGTTAAAAGGATTTTTAGGTGTTTTATTGTCCTAGATGTTTATATCGAGTTTCGTAGTTGTTTTGTGTTAGCGAATTTCCCATTTATCCCAGAGTGACATTCTGAAATCTGATATCATTTTCTAAATCGTTCTTAACTACTGTTCTATGTTCTTTGTCTTAAAATCTCAAATTAGCTTTTAGGGCCATTTGAACATCGTCATAATACGTATCAAAAACTAAAGCTTAGTTTTGTATTAAACTGAGTGAACTCGATCGTAGTCATATAATTATCGAGGTAAATTTGTCCGAAAAACTCTTAATCAAAATAAGTTTACAGGTACATTTGAAAATAGGATTATAAAAATCGGATTAAAGTAAATCTGTGTAATTTTGTCTAGCTAACTGCGACGTCGTACAGTTTATACTACTTGATTTTTTTACTTCATTTTCTAACAAATATCATATTTCTTCAAATTTAGCTGGGATTCCGACGGAAGTTGTTGATGAAGATATCGAAGCTGAAGATGAAGACAATACACAACTCAATCTTTTCGAGGTAATACGGTGTATTTCTATGATTTGCAAGATTCGGTTTGTCATGATAGCTATATCATGTTTCTTTCAACACTAATTTGTTGCCTATAGCTCTTCAAATTTCATGTTTTGATCACTTTCAGGTTATTAGATTAGGATCTGAAAAATTCACTGAAATTAGTAATGATCAGTTGTTTTAAAAAGTTACCAATATGATTGAAAACTCATTTTAAGTGTTGTAAACATATCTATTCTTCGAACATTTCTGCCCCTAATTTAGTTTGCGAAATACATGCTTAGTGTCTATAAGCATTCTATGTGTTTCATGTCTCTTTTGGCAGTCATCTTAATACAATTTTGACTACCTTAAATATATTTTGGTGACCAATTATCTCTGTATTTTCTGACATATGACTATTTCTTGTATGGTCTAGGAAGAACGTGCAATCAATGTTTTTATGAACTAAAATACTTTGCAGGGAAAATTGTCAAAGTGTATTATTGTTTCTTATTCTTAAATAATTTGGTTTTTGTCTACTGTAGGAAGATGATAAGACATTACCTCCGATGAGCAACTGGTTTGGTAAGCTCGCGGCTTACACTGGTGGAATAGAGCCAACTGTAGGCGAAACTAAACAACTGAAAGAAAAACAAACGAAGTCATGTGATGTAAGTTGATTTTTTGGGTGTTTTATGATGAGTATGAATCCATATTTTTAATTTCCGTACTTCTGCCTGGCAAATTTATAAAATCAGGTCACTAAAGCTTTATTTACCGGTTAACATTAAATATGAAGTTTAATGGCTTCTTTATCGATATTTGCCACTTTAGTTACACATTAACGCCCCCCATTCAGCGATCAGCCTGTAATTGATAGTTGAACACATTCTTTTGCAGAGGGAAATGGTTTCTTGGATCCCACAAAGGAACGTTTCTGTTTCTATATGTGAGTCACAAGAACTATAGTTAGGGATATTTGAGTGTCGGGGTGTGTACCGTAATAAATGAGACTGATAACTGAAACTGTAATTCAATTAATATGTGAAGCGTTATATAACTGCGATAAATCGAAGTTTTATAACTATGCATTTCTCCAGGTAGTTAATTAATATATTGAGGATTTAACAGTTGCGTAGAAGTATTCAGGCTAGGTAATAGTAGAACCTTATAACATTAATAGATAATGGATTACGTACGAGCATATATAATATTTATCCGATTGTATATAACTGACGCAATATTCTCAATCGCAACTCACATGTACTTTCTCTAATTTTATTTATCACTTATTACTGCTTCCGAAATATTTATCGTCACTTTGATTATGTTCTTTTTACTTTACTTTGATAAGTAACTCATCATAAAACCGTTAAATCACTGTTTTCCTTTGTTTTTCCGTCCCAACAGTTTTTTTGTACATATGTAAAAGTAAAAGCCTCAGAGATTTGTATTTGTAGTGAAGGTTTTGTACAAGCCTGTAGTACGAAATTAGGTTCTCAGTTACATTGCTAACGATTTGTAAAATTCAGTTGTAGGCCAAAAGCATACATACTTAACATTAACTTATGGAATTCAATTTATTTCAGCCATTTACTGTTTTAATGACTGCAACGTCATGTAATCTCAACTATTTACACTCTGGACTGAATCATTGAGTATCTGTTGCGCTGTGGGCTCCTTGAACCAATAAAGCAACATTACTGACAGAAAGCAACAACTCTATTGTCTATATTTTCTAACGTTTGATTTTACGCGTCATCATATAGGCATTCATTTGTGACAGAGTCATTAAGTAATGAATGTTTTCATCTCCATGACAAACAAAGTTTCTTTAATTTATGGATTGACCTTAGTAAGCTATGTCTACAAGTATGAAAACAAGGCTCAGGGATTTCCGTTTACTCCTATCAACATTTCATGAAAAATCTCAGCTATTCATGATATTTCTTTAAATAGCGTTTGAAATAATTACCCTGCTTTTTCGCTTTTATCTCGAACTAATTTAATAATTTAATGACTTTGTCTTTGGTTGATAGACCTGTTTCATTTGGCTCAATACATAACACTTTCCGTATAACATTAATGAAGTACAGAATATTTTTATTACCTTATTTATTTTTTGTATATATCTTTTGTTTTGTTTCTTAAAGAACAAACGTTTGGGAACTATATTGGGTGTGTTTCTACCATGCTGTCAAAATATATTTGGCATCCTATTATTTGTTCGAGTTGGGTGGATTACAGGCGTAGCAGGCGCGTTTCAAACGTTCCTGATAGTGTTTCTGTGTTGTAGCTGCGTAAGTTCAATCTTCTGATGCAGTTTAGACGGTGTCACAATTTAGTTGAATTTAGTCAATTGATAAGTATACTTGAGGAACGTAGTATGTTTATCTCACACATGTATTACCGGATGGTATGAGTAGATTCATTTCAAACTTCTTGCACTATGTTTCAGTAAATACATTGTTTTGAAACAGTCGGTATATCCCTGCCAGAAGTTTGCACAATAGATAGGTGCTATTTAATGCCTGTTAGTATCTTTTATAAATTCTCATCCTTGCATAGTTTTTATTGATTAGAATTAATCTTTAAGTCAACTTCATGTTTATTAGAAGCGCTAGGTTGCCTGAATATAAGTGGTCATAAGTAAGTGAATTGGGACGTATAACACGTTGAAAAAACTATCTTCAGTGAATATTGATGGATACCAATTTATAGGGAAAACCGGTCTAGGTGTTTATAACTGTATGTTTATTATCATATCCTTTTTGATATTTTGTCACGATTTTGTTTTTGCAAATAACAGTCCATCATAGTAACAATGGAACATGGCATTATACTATATGATAGTGCCCAAGTTAGATTTTTATAATTAATTACTACTATGTATTTCATAAAGTTTTGTTTAGCTACACACTATTCTATGATATTACTGTTCATTAATACGTAACAAAAACTATCCATGGTTAAATAAATTAAACCTTCTTTGCTAAGATATACTATAGTGTATGAAATCCAACTTTAACTATTTATTCTTAAAGCATCGATGAACAGTTTATTCTTCGCTACCATGCTATTCCTTTTCAAAATATTTCTCTATTATAGTTAAAATAATCACTTACTTCATCTCAATACCTTTCTTTTTTTTACCATCACCCTACAATTTCTGTTTATTTTTCGTTATCGAGGAAAAAACGTAGCTCTCTAAGTTAAAATTTACAGAAGTTCGTGCGTAGTTACTCCTTATGTTCCTGTTCAGTAATCCTTCTTTTTGAAGAAAGAATTCTTTTATACCATCACTTTATTTAAGTGTTTTTCTCTTTAAATGTATGTCATGACTTTTTTATTGTAAATTTTTTATTTGTATAAAATTTTGTAGGAGAAACAAATACAAATGAGGTTGTTCAACTTTTTCATTTCGAAGAGAGAAACAAAAACGAGAATGCACAAAAATTACACTTAAGTTATATAAAGATTACACAGATACTTAATTAATGACTCTCAAAGTCCTGTTATTCAATATCTTTATGTTTTGTTCTCCTTTGAAAAGTCTTTTTGAAGTTTTCATTAAGGATTATCATCAAAGTCGATACCAACAGCTTACTTTAAGAAATGTGTAGATAAATAGGGATACAATCATATATACAGGTTATATATGTCCTTATAAATTAAGTTTAAGATATTTTATGTTATTTTCACAGAATTCCTTACTCCTTCTCTAAGTTTTCATAAGATCATTTTTTTATTCTCAACGGTCAATTTTTCATTTGTCTCTTCTCCTTTTTGCCTTAACCCTTTTCAGATCTCTTTTTTTCTAGAAAATAGTAGCACATGCGTTTTTATTTACTTTAAATTCAAGTATTATAAACCGCTGTTGTCGATTAGTCTTTGTTCTATTTTTTTGTTGCTAAAATTTTATGATAACGTTTTCTTATTTATTTGATCAGCCTAACCTTTTTCATTTAAGTTTTATGCATGAAATGAAGCGAGCGAAAGTTTTAATTTAATCAATATTCATTGCAATACTGATGTCTGTTTAAACAAGACAACATTGATCACTAGGATAATTATCAATCAAACGACACCATATTCTTCCCTTATCCATTAATTAAGAGAGAAAGTATTTGGTTAAAAATAGCTATATATATATATATATATATATATATATATATATATATATATATATATATATATATATATATATATAACGTAGAACTTGGTACAGTAGTACATCTGTTCGAGTTAGCTTACCCTATTAACACAGTGAAATGAAATTTTCAAGGCAGATCCCAGAGTGGTAGAGGTAGTAGTATTAATAGTAGTAATAATAGAGATTAGACATCGAAGATACAACCTGAAAATAAAATACGAATAAGTGAAATGAAGTCTTTTATTTTTCAGGTATTATCAAATGATATCTGAAAAATAAAAATAAAAATTATGCGACTGGAATCGTAAATGGTGACACAAAATATGATTAATAAAAAAGCTACTAAAGTTTGTTATTTCCGTCTTAAACTTCATAATTCCTATACTAAAATTTCTTGTTCTATGCAATCTACTTTTTATTAATAAAACTAATGCATATAAGTATTGTACTATTCTACTGATGAAGTGGCATTATACGGCTTTTTAGTATGAAATATTGAATGTAGAAAAGTTACCAGGTGTTTGGTGGTTCAATGTCATCATCTATTATAAATCAAAAATATACCTAATTAGTGCATGATTTAAACGACAATTTGTTTATAGTGTATACTATTACATAATATATTCCCAGCTTGTGCATTTATCATGATATATATGGGTCATTTGGTTGTTTATTTGTCAACAAACATCATTTTCAATGGTACCGGTCTCTGAATATAATTATTTTGTCATACTGTTACACTCTCAAAACCATATTAAATGGAATGTCGCTGGTGTTATAGTGTTTATACTCACTCTTATTGTTATATCGAAGTGTTTATACGATTGAGCCACATATACTAGTAACGATCAGTTAGATAATATGAAAGCTAATGCACTAATATCTTTAAATTAAACCAAGTAATTTTATAAGGATTTTTCAAAGACTGATGGTATGATAGTTTTAAGATACTTAGAATGTTAAAACTTCTCAAGGTATAAATTTGAATAAGTAATGTGAGTTAACAGTATTGTTTATAATTAGGTCTTAGTCATTCCCTACCCTAGTATACAATAATATTTTTATGTATATGTGGAAAATATTAGGACCAATCACGACAACTTGTAAGTCAATGTGCTTCATATATTTATTATGATTAGTTGTGTACTGTATGTCATTGTTATCAGTGACTCACAAGTTCTCTTGATTGGTTTAATACTTCTCTCGTATGCATAAAAATATGACTGTTTTACCTAGATTCCTAACATAGGAAACTATAAGTGGTTTATTCAATAACATTATGGAATGAATACTGATTTCTATATTTAACGGTGAAGTCTCTCCAAGTATTTAATAGCTAATAAGTAGCGTAAAGCACTAGTTCTCCTTTCATTGACTTTTGATTTATCTTCTGATTACCCTTACCTATGTTAAGCGTCTTTATTTAAACAAACTTCAACAATCGCTGTGACTTTGGTTCACTTTCTTTTCTCTATTGTATGTGTTCTGTGAGTAGGCTTTCAAGACCTATTTTAGAATAAACCTGAATTTTTTAGAAAAAATTACATTGTTTTCCATAAGGGAAAAAACAACTCTTCATGAGACTTAGCGTACTGTTCAGTCAGATGCACTTCAAGAGAGCTTGATTACATGCGTACTTATAGTGTCGATTGCAATGTTTAGCTCATATAACTTATTCTAGCTTCTGGACAGGCCAGTTTATCCATTCTTCTTGATTCACGTTTTGACCTTGTTAATTATTCACTTATCAACCTTGACTGTTTTTATATGAGCATATGTGTGTACACTTCTCATCCTACACATCACATACCTGTAGCTTATTTCTGTGTGACTATAAATATCGAATAATGCTTGGCTAGATGGAGCTGGCTTATACGCCTTCTCCACCGCGCGTCATTTCACTTCGTCCCTCTGATTGTCTGTCCACATCAGTGAGTATACAAAATACATGTATTCAAAAATCCTTTTTCGTATTCGAATTATTCGATTCTGCTTTTCACCAATGTGACTTAAGTCGATGAAATATACGAGAATAGCCGACATGTGTATTTCGATGACAATCAGCATACAATCCATTTGGAGTCAGATACAAGACAACTAAATACTCATGAAATATATACTGAATGCATATTTTTCAAAAGATTACTTTTGAAGTTGTTGAGGTGCTTGAATCAAAATGTGTAGGTACAAAAATCAAGTTAGATGAGTAAGAATATTTATTGTATAATTTGTTGATTTTTTAAACCGTATTCAATCACATGAGAATAGATCTATATCTGTTAGTAAATGTATTACTGTGATAAGATACATTCTGGTCATAATGAGAGAAACTCAAAAAATACCGTCAGTTTGAACTTATTTATAAACGGGTTGAAATTACCGACAAAATCGATATGGTTTTACAGAAAATCGTTGTTCGTATCGATTAACATATCATAGATTTTAATTCCATCTCAAATATTGGTTGTACGTTATATTTGGCGAGTGCGTTACTTCGTTTACGCGTTAATGTATTCATGCGATGAATACGATGGCAAAATTAGCTAATTCTTAAGGAATAAATTCAGACAGGACAGATCATTCTTTTAAGAGGTTTTTTTGAATTATTCGTGTGGATAGTGTATCGAGACACCACAAAACAACTATTCATTAACTAGCTATTATCATTAATTACTGTTGACTTTTGTAGAGCTAACTTTTTTGTTTACAGAAATCTGTTCACAGTAGCGTTACTGAAAATGATTTCTTTGGTAAACAATTGAGCTATTAGAAAAATGGACATTTTTAAACAAACACAATCCTTTTCTCTAACTGGAATAAAACTGAATTGGATAACAAATTATTATCAATAAACAATAATCTAACATTTTACTTTTGAATATTTTTTGAAAACAATTCTGTTGCAAAGTCAGTCATGTATCGCCTTGAGTCAGAATTATGATTATAAATAACAATCCAAAGTTGCGCTTATATTTTGAATTTAAAGACACGAATATTTTTTAAGAAGAATGGAAAAAAATGACAGTATATCTTCTTGCCATATTTTGTAGCCGAAGATAGCTATTGTAGGAACACAAGTTATAGCGACCTGATAAAAATTGATTTGCTACAAACCAGAATATAATATTCAATCAACCCCTGAACACC